ACAACAAAATCAACAGTGGCGTAACAAATCTTTACGGGCCCCCCTGTAAACTTATTTTTTGGGCCCCCCTCTTATGAGTTAATTTAAGACCACCGATTCAACATAGTGAATCGCCCTCCCCCTCCCCCCAGAGCTATTTTAGGACCACCGATACAATGATCAAACAGATTAATCATAAAAAGAGTGGTACCCTAAACAAATTAGTGGGTCTCTCTGCCCACCGCCCCCCCCCCCCCCCCAGCTCCCGGGCACCCCGCATTGCGGGCCCTTCTGTTACGCCACTGAAAATCAACGGGCAAATTATATTTTATACAAAGTTGACTGTGAGTTCAATTCTTAAGTTTTTCCCTTAGCAGGTTCAGTCCCAGCCGTCACACTCCTCTGTATTTTTAGGTTCAGTTATATCTACACTCGGGGGTAAGTTCAGGCCCGCTGTCAGTTATGTGATACGCTATGGGCCCAAGTCATAGTTGCGCCCCCCCCCACCCTGCCGACATTGATTTGAATTATAAAATGAATATAGACATTTTATGAGTTGCTTGCGCATCTGCAATATAGGCCTAACAAATATAAGAAGACTCATTGTGTTTACTTTTGATTGTTAATTGAATTACCCGCTTAGTAACTAAAAACGTAAACCATCAATTAAAGTTTAACTGTTACTTACATACCGTACACACTTATATTTCCAATGGTGCGTTCTTAAAAGTAAAATTGGTTTAGTTGTAAAAAAGTGTGAATTAAAACATAGTTTTAATTTATATAAGTTATAATTGCAAACATTTAAAACTCCAAAAAGTCAATACCGTAAAATGGCTGGTTTTTTCTACATTTTTTTTTTTGGCCAACTCGTCAATAACTTAACATCATCAAAGTTCATTTTCAGATTTACCTACATCACTTTCTGTACACATCATCATTTAGGCCTAAATGATTTTAATGACCGTAAAAACTAGGCTACTTATTTTAGGAACTTTTTGTAACACTTTTACCTTACGAATCTTTTATGTCGCCCTCTTTCTAAAATCACTGCCACTTGGTTTTTTGCTCATTTCACAGAAAAAGGGTGTGATATTACAACGTAAAATAACATCCTTCAAACTTAAATAAAATCATAAGCAAAAACACGGCCAGTATCTTTACTTGCTAACAAATTGATACTGTAATAAGTTTCTCGCCATTTGAAAAAAGCAACTGACATTGAGTATAATGAAAAAAGGACATAACAAATTAATAGCCTACAAATAAAGACAGACGATTAAGTATAGTTAATGATAGGCCTAATATACAAACAGTGGCAGTGATGAGTCATGAGTGGAAGACGAAGTGAGGAGGTTTCAGATATTTTCCAATTAGTGTCTGTTACTAGCGCACCCAACAAAACAAAAAAAACTCTTGCGCCCCTGGACCAGGGCCCATTTTTAACCGCGGTACTGGGTAAGTTAAAACTTTCATCCCTAGATCTTAGAAAGACAGCTGTGATGTCATAGGCATATTTGATATACATTTTGATAGCGTTGTTACCCTTCAAAGTGCCATCTATAAATAAATCGTACCCTAGGCTATTATGTGCCAAGCCTTGATAAAAATTACTAAACGTAGGTAGCTGCGATGTTGTTTCATAAGTTAGACCTAGTTAATCGAAAACAAAAAAAAAAACATACCGGTAGCTAAACCTAACCTAGCCATAACCTACTGATCGCAAACGCGGCACCTTAAGTTATTTGTTTGACATTTCCTTTCGATAGTTTGGAAGGACGTAGGCCTAATTATAAAGCTGCAGCCTTCTGGGGTTACAGTTCCGCAGAGAACCTGCGATCTTATTAAGTTATCAGATCAATAACAATTTATCAATATTTTTATAAATATTAACATAGGCCTAGGCCTAAGTTTAGGCCTAGTTAACTTTAATATTGCATTGACTTTAATTTTCCCAGTTAGCTTATTACATTAAGTTATAGGCCTAAGAGGCTAACTTTATGTTTTCTTTTTCATTAAATAGGTTAGGCTATATTTGGCTAGTAAGTTACCGTCTCAGGCTATATTTTGTTTGTGGTTAAATATGCTTATAGGCTAGTTAATATCGATAGAAACGTAGGCAAAACAAATCATAGGTCAATTTGATATTTACATTGGGAAGAAGAATAAACATTTAATTTAACTTACCAAAGATATTTATCATTAAGTCATACATCTGTTCACAGATCACAGGTTCTCTTCGGAACTGTAAGTTAAGTTACCCCCTTCTGGTCTTAAAATATTCATCTGCCTACAAGACTAGGCCTGAATTTTAACATAACCTTACCAATTAACATCATTTTTAGTCTTAACTGTAAGTTAGGCCTAGGCTAACTTATGACAGGTTCTAAGTAACTTAGGCATAAGTTTAGCTACGGTATTTGTTAAGTAGACCTAGGCCTAGCTTGTCTCCAAGCTAAATTAGTTCAGACCAAGGACATATTGCAATGAATTAGGTCTAGGTTATCTCCTGAAGTTGGCTTCCTTAGTTTTGTAAACTACAGCCTAATTTTTCCCCAAAGAGCCTCCATCCGTAGAGTTTTTAAGGGGTTAGGAAGGCTATTGTAACCTATTTCCACTTATAAAGTATTTAAATTAGATTACCACCATTCGAGTTATTAACAAAACATATGCTAAATCTCTTAATAACTTACAATAACGATAATAATTTGTGTAACTTACCTTAACTCAAGTTGGTCGAATCGCCACTGAAGTTAAAAAGTCGAAGATGTAACGCAAATCTTAAAGAATATAAAGTAAAAAGTAACTAATAGACCTATTTAATAAGTAAATAATAACAAAACAACGAATTCTTCACGTGTAACACTGAAAATCAGAAGTAGATGCTCTAGTCTAAACACAGCCACAAGGACAACGTTTGTTGTGAGTTGTGAGACAAAGACAAGACAAACAATATGGCGGTGGCGGATCGGATCGGATGCTGACCCCCGCTGTTTTGCTCCCATAATGCATCAGCGAACATCGTCGAACCTAAGAAAACGCAGAGACTCGGGTATCTCGCGCGGCAGAATATTTTGTTCATCATCTATGAATATTATAGTATAGTATGTGTTACAAATACATTTTACACAGGATGTTGAAAAAATGCAGGGAAATAAATACAACACTACAATTTTTTTCGTATTTTTCTATTGATATAAAATACATATATTATCTGTATCATCAATACCTTTACTTATTTTACTGCATTCTCGAAAGTTAATTTATGCCCTCAAAACAACATTTAGGTGAAAATTTACACTTTGTTTCTTCATTTTACAGTATTTTATGCAAAATTTATTTTGGATGAAACCGTATTTTCATATTGGTATATAATATGTATATTATCTGTATCATTAATACATATACGTTGGTTATACCTTAATCCCGAATATTTACGTATTATATACATTGCTTGCTACATGGGTATACCAAGCAAACGGCAAACTGTTATAAGCCATGATGTTATCTTCCAACCTGAGATATCCCAAGGAAGTACTGTTCCTGATAATGAGCCATCTTCGAGCGATGAAGTTCATTTTGACATCAATTCAAAAACAACAGAAGTGGAAACTGACAAAGCGGCACCTCCTATTGTTTTGGAGGGGGGTGAGCAGTGTTATTGTCTCGGACAAGTACGTATCAATGGTATTTACTCAGGGGAGGTATAGATGAGGTTACGATGACAGCTGTGGGCTTCTCATTAGCAGAGGGAACACCATTACCGTAACAATACGGTTTTCAGCCATTGGCCTCGGTGGGCTAGTGGTTAGCGTGCCGGGCTGATATCCTGAGAGTCCCGTCCCGAGTTCGAATCCCGCTGGGGGCACTAACTTTTTGACTAAGATGTTTTCATTATCAGCAAGTTTGGTTGGTTTGGTTCGGTTATGACAGTTCAATTTTATTATTAAGTCATTATAAAATTTTAATTGAGCAATTTATAGTTTTATTTAATGAACAGAATTATTTTTTCAATTAATAAACTCTTTTTATATTATTTCATCATCAGCAAGTTTGGTTAGTTCGGTTAGGTTATGATAGTAATTTTATAATAAAAAAATTATAAAATTGAATTGGAGGCATTTATAATTTTATTTTATATGAACAGAACTATTTTTGCGATTAGTAAACCTTCATTGCCAAAATGCTCTCCACTACAGCGCTGTTCACGGAGGAATTTTGAACTAATGCCTCAATCGCACCTCCCCTTAAGTCGAGTATGTTTTATCATAGATAAAACATACTCCGTTTTATCATAGACTAACCAACACAAGTGGTTTTATCAAGTTTTATCTATGGTCAGACCCACGTATCAATAGTCAACCACGTTCCTAGCTACGGTATAGATTTTCTTAATATTAGCATATATTAGCGTCTCGCCGCAGCAAACCTGTCGACAAAGCGGATTTCCATTTGTCTGAATTGATTTTCAATTAAATCTATTTAAATAACATTTCATTAGGTTTAACTGTAGATATAAAGTCAATGCTAATACCTACGTTTAGCTGCTACAAGGAAACTAAAGTGTATTTTTTAGTCAAATATTAATAGCTTAGTATAAAATCATAACAATTTTTAAATGCATATCGTGCAGGGGACCACTTTCCCGTTTATAATCGGGTGAAAAAATATTTGGTCCCGTGAAACGTGAAATTTCTATACTATATGGGATTTATGGGAAATTCGCTAAAAAGAATAAAAGGCAGAGAGCTAGAGCAGAGCAGAACAGGAATAGAGAACAACCAACCAGAACCAACCATTACCCAGACCCAACAAAGTAAAGTAGCTCCCCGTCCCCCTCTCCTTGTGATTGTGATTTTGTAAAGTGGATGTTTTTATTTACATTAAGTTGAACTATTGTAAGTAATTGTCATTAAATTTTCAGTAAGGTGTTAAGAAATAGGTTACCTTTATTACTTTTTAAATTCAGTGTTGCTTTGACAGTGTAATACCTAGGCCTAGTTATTTTTCTGTATCCACTTTTAATTTCAGATTGATTATTAGTCTGAAGCTGAAGAATGGCTGCCGGTCTCAGTATACTGTTATACTGTAGACTTGTACAGTAGCTGTAGTCTAAACTAAACCTTATTAGGCCTATAACCCTAGCGCAAAATATGTATTAAACAATGTATTGTTCACTTAAACCACAGAAATTCAATCATCGTATGAAGTTGTTAATTTAGCTTGTAAGCAATTAATTGGTGAGTTGACTCGTTCACACTTCACTTTCTTTGATGAACCTTGTCTAATTGTTTTTTAGTTCCTTATTCTTTTAGGCTATTATTTATTGCAAAATTTTGGTATGTACTGTGTCTATTTCAAGGATTTGTTCTCATTTGTCTTCTGGGAGTTAATTGTAATAACTGATTATAACTTAACTTAAAAACCTACCTAAGTTATGGTAAGTTAGGCCTAACTTACTCAGGTTTTTCAAAATAACTTAATATTTCAATAAGTTAAGTAGGCCTATGCCTAGGAAATCTTACCTAGGTATATTTGAATCTAGGAATTGAATAAGTTATATTCTATAGAATAGTAAGTTTAATACTTAGCCTAGCCTAACTCTAGTCTTGAGATCTGTATCTTAAGTGAGTAGGCCTAGGCCTAAGAAATAACTAAAACTTAAGTCAAGTTAAATTATAAGCTTACGTACATTTAGGCCTAATTTCGAATGTGTATATTTCTTCACATGGGGTAGGCTAGGCTAAGTTACTTAAGTTAGTCCCTGTTTGCCATAAATATACAACATGAGTTAGGCTAACTTAACTTGGGCCTAAGTTAGTTGTGCCTCAATAATCATAACAGTCATATGTCGTAAGGAGGAAATTCCTACACACATAACTTATTTTTGATAACCCAACCTAGCATATCCGCCACAGCGCTCTGTAAAATAAGTAGCCTAGGCCTACTGTAGCCTCCGTATAATACAAAAGTACTGGTACCAAAACACGGGCACAAATATATATAAATACTTATAAGTTACCAAAATTTGAACGAATGGTGTTTTTGGCCTCTGGGGATATCAAAATGAGAAAGGTAATCGGTCCCGTGCCTAGGTCTTACCATACCACCTACGGTAATAACTACTTCCCTATAGGGAAATTCGCCCAAAACAATTTAGTCTTACATTTCATTTGGATGAAAAGGGAGTTTGCTTATTACCGACTCTAGGAGATTTAGAATTTTGTTCAACAAATATTTACAATAGGCCTAGGCCTATACGTAACAACTTAAAATATGCTGTTAAGTTAGCCTTGTAGGCCTAAGTTGTGCTGGGGACAGTAATGAAACGTCAACTCGATTCTCTCGAGTGCTCAGCATGAATTTAGAGGTGGAAGATCCACAACCAGTCTTGAGTTGAGTCTTGTTGAGACAATTAACAGAAACCTTTGAACATAACGAGTCAATCCTCCATAGACTCTGCGATGTCAGCAAGGCTTTCGATGTGGTGTCCCATGAGCTACTGATAGGCAAACTAACAATGTATGGTGTGGGTGGAATTGTGCTGAAGTCCTTTTCCTGCTATCTGGCAAGTCACAGGCAAGTAGTTAAAACAATAAATGGGACCTCCTCCTGCATTAGACACATCTCACATGGAGTGCCACAGGGCTTGGTACTCGGGCCCCCTCTTTAGATTAGTGGTCAACGATTTGTGGCTAAATGGTTCCATCCCTCATCTTCGGAGACGACACCACCCTGATATCTTGAAGAAGCGACATTGAACAACTGCATATGGAAGCTACAATTTCTAAGAACAATGTTTTAATGTTTTAGCCTTACATCTTTTGGGGCTAGCCAAAACTGGTTTACAGTAAATCGTTTGAAATTAAGTGCAGCTAAAACTCAGTCCTTGCTCTGCACACTGAAGCCATTCAACAAAAGGGACGAGGAGGTTAAACTTCTAGGGTTCTGGTTGGATCCAAACTGATCTGGAACTCACACATTGATAGGGTATGTGCACGGCTATCAAGGGAAATTTTCCTTCTAAGGAAACTTTGGAACCTCATCCTGAAGCAATTCTTCTGTGTACCATGCTCTATTTCACAGCCATCTTGGCTTGGTACTTTGGGGCCACTCATCAGCAGCACAGGACATAACTGCTCCAGAAAAAAGCGGTAAGAAGCATAATGCCAATTACTACAAACATTGTTGGCTCCTTTTTTAAAAAGACCTGGGCATTCTTACAGTTTTTAGTCAAAACGTGTTGAACCTCCTAACACTTTTGAAATAGAATGTCCACCTGTTTGACCGAATATAAGTTCATCACCACTATGACACTCGGCAATCCCTACACCTTGACATGCTGTGATGTCGTCTCACCCCACCCTTCAGAGCTACCCCCGCTAAGCCATGGCTTTCTCAACACCTTGCCGAAGAAGGTGCGGGAGATGAACATCATCTCTTTCAAAGCGGCAATTAGAAACAGCATAGTAAATAGGCCAATTTACTCGCTGGAGCAGCTTTGTGAAGAGCCCCATACTAGTAGGTACTTAGAGCCCCCTACCCCAAAAATGTTCACCTGTTTGATTTACTGCCGCAGCCTGGTGAAGTTTCTTGTATGTAAATAGTAGGCCTAGTGTTTTCATATTTTTAATTGTATATTGACTCAGTCTATCCGACATTGTTGGTCAACGACGAAGCACACAAGTATGAAGTATCAAGAAGGCCTCCTTGCAGGATTATAACTTATGTAGGCCTACATAGCCTAAGTCTTTCTTCATGGATCCATTTTAATATTAAGCCTAGTCGAACCTTTTTACCTTTAGGTCTACTGGGTCTTCTTCGGACTAAGCAAATATAAATTGTTATGATAAAGTTTGATGACACTACCAAAGATTCCAAATACTAATATTATATGTACTTTGGCTATAGTTAAATCGCAGCAAATTCCCTAATTAACCCTTTGAGTGCCAACGTCCGGGGAACCGGACGTTTTTAAAACGAGCCAAAAGTGCCAACGTCCGGCTGACCGGACGTTTCGTAATGATCGAACAGTTGTCATAACAACCGAATGGATACTCGGATTCTTTTAACCCATATATTAACATTGAGTCGAAAGTTACTAGATGCGATACATCGATTTTCGTTGGTCGAAATATCGAAAATTCGATTTTTACGAAATTTTAACCTAAAAATCGCCAGATCGCGCTCGGCATTTTTAGCGCGACCTTCGGGAAAAATCATCGGCATTTTTTGAGCGTTACTTTTATTTCTCGCCTGGCACTCTAAGGGTTAAATTCTGTATTTTTGTGTGTATGTCTTTTGGTAACGCATTGATGTCCTTATTTCTCAGTGTTTCACAGAAAGGACAAGAGCACCTTTGATGATGAAAATGTCAACCAGAATGTTTAATGGGGAGGTTGAGGTAGTATTTTAACTACTTTTAACCATTGTGGGAAGTAACTTTCAACTATAGGCCTACTTTAGGGCTATGCCTCATAGATCATTAGAGCATTTTTTGGCTTGAAACTGTCAGATATTGTATTTGCGAAGGTTTATATATAATAGTTTTGCCAGCATATCTGAAAATATGCAAACCAACTGCTGTTCTTTATGTAAGAAGATTTCAACTGACTACTATAAGATCCCCGTGCGTAGAACGCCCACACAGCTAGTATACAATATATAACTACAAAAATATAGGCTACTCTGTAATTGAAACAGAACAGCCCTAACAACAGCCTAGTTTGCATGGTTCAAACTAGTGGTTCAAAGGTTTATTTTTGAGCCTTTAAGTTAGGCTCTACTTAACTTACTGTAGCCTATTAAATTAGAGGCCATGATAACATTCATCTCTTAAATTTTTCAATATTTTGTATTAATATATTACTAGTGTACCTGTTGCTCAAATTCGAGCAATTGCGAAGCATTACAGGCGTTATTTTAAAAATAATTTCCGATGACTTTTTAAGAGTCGACTCAAAGATTACGGAAATACTCAAGATGTACACAGCAGTTAGATATAATCAAAATTTTTGTAAATTATCTTTTTTCAAAAGCTGACCTTGTTTTTTAGTGTTTTCTACAAATGTTTTCCCACTCATAGCCGCATTAGGTTGTCTATAATAACGATTATAAATGAAAAAAAAAAACATTACTTCTATTTCTTCTACTGTACTTGGTTGTGTTCTATGACTTTCCTGTTTCCATTGTTTGCAAATCGGCTCTTTCAATTATTGCTCAAGAAATGTAGCACAGTGTTAATTCAGTTTTATTTTAGCGAATTTCCCATATAGGGAATAAGCTATTACCGTAGTACTCATGGTAAGACCTGGACACGAGACCGATTTAATTTTTGATTTTGAGGTCCCTAGAGGCCAAAAACACCATCCGTTCAAATTCATATATATATATATATTTATATATATATTTATATATATATATATGTGTCCGTTAGCGCGATAACTCGAGCAAAAATGATCCGATTTTGATGAAATTTGGTACAAACGTGTAAACCTACGTTTATTTGAACGAGTTCGCGATCCAGCATAATCGGACCATGGGAACGGGGGTTTATGGGGGGTTTTATGGGGTAAAAATGGGTTTTTCCCATTTTTGAACCTAAAAACAAAAAATTTTGCGATTTCTTTCTTAACCGTTTTGTAGAGCTTAAAAAAAGAAATAATTTAGTATATTGAAGCGCTGTTGTATGCCTAACGGTCGCGGAGAAAATTCAAAAATTGTGTAATTAAAAATTCCCATGTTATTCTTATGGAGAAAATGAAAATTGTTGTAGTTTACTTGTTTATGGGTATATATTGATAAAATTTGGCAAATTTATTTATTTCATCCTATACTATTGACGTATGGTCAAAAAACACTTTACCTTCCCCGTAGCAGCAAACCTAAGCACTCGTTAAATCTAATGTTATTTAAATAGGGAATAATATGTCTTATTTATGGAAATATTTTAGTAAAAATGTAATCAGACGAGTTGAAATTCGCTTAGTCTGCAGGTTTGCTGCGGCGGGGGTATATTTAGTATATCAAATTGTCCAGTATTTCTCACTTTTTCCATTGATTTTTTAAAAATTACACCAACCAAGTATCGTCTACTACAGATGCAATACGCCAAAGAATATCGTCTGCAATCTTCAAGAGGTGGTAAAAAAAGCAGAAACCAACCCATACAATAGATATAAGTTAACTCCATAAGAAATAATTTTAAGAGTTACTGTGATATTAGGATTTTCCACTGATTTGGTAATAGAACATTATATTGCAAAACATGGCACGATTCAGAAGAAAATCTATTTTAAAATCAGAAAAAAACCATTGCAAATAGGTACTTCATTTTGACAAATTTAGTAAATCACAATTTAAATATTAACAGCTGTTTCATTCAAAAGTAGTGTAAATGTATGCATATGGTCGTAATGTAAACAAATCTGAAGAGGGAAATTTAAAGGCCTCCGGGCAGAGCCCCAAGGGAATTTACCTTGTTTCTCTTTTGATGGCTCATCTACAGACCAAGACCTTTCTTTAGAGACCCCTACCAAGTTTCTACGCCCAGCCGTTCTCTGTAATTAGCTGTCACAAAACCCCATTTTTCCTCCATAAGAATAACATGGGATGGGAATTTAAAGGCCACTGGGGCAGAGCCCCAAGGGAATTTACCACGTTTCTCTTTTAATGGCTCATCTACAGACCAAGACCTTTCTTTAGAGACCCCTACCGAGTTTCTACACCAAGCCGTTCTCTCAAATTAGCTGTCACAAAGAAAAACAGTTTCAAATTAATATATAGAGTACTAAAACTTCTTTACTAAGAAGATGATTACCTACTATAGTATATCAATACTATATTATTATAGTGGTATGTTGTATGTTGTATTCAGGCTGGAGATGTCTGGTGCAGGGTCTAGTGGTGCAGGTAGAGGCAGAGGATCAACTTCCGTCCCTGAGGCCAAGAGTGAGAGTAAAGAAGTCAAGCCAAATCCTAAAATGTCAAAGGCTTTAAGTACTTCTGCAAAAAGGTAGGTGTTGTGTCACTATATCTGACTAATGAGTATTCATATTTAAAGGGAATTAAAGAATTTAGTCAGCTGTTTCAACTAAAAAAGTTTGTTCTATGATATGCAAAAGCATTAACCCTTCCCGTACGGGTGACGGATATATCCGCTTATGGTTTTTGATGTTCCGGACGGGAAGCGGATATATCCACCTTCTCTTCAGACAAACTGGCAAGTGCTTGATAGCCCAGTCAATCTAGGTTTTTACCTGGAAATGTGAGAATAATGCTAATTTTTTGCACAGATGCCCGTTATGGTATGTAATATCACACCCTAAAAGTCCCCGCCCGTCCCCTGTGTGCTTCCCCCGTTTTAACGAAATAAAGGGGGGGAGGGGCGCGACCTATTAGACGTGTCCGTGAACGCGATAACTTGAGTAATTTTGGTCCGATTGTGTTTAAATTTGGCTTGAAGGTGTAAGATGGGATAATCTTGAATGAATTGGCAAACCAGCACGATCGAACCATTGGAACGGTTGTTTACGGGTGGTTTTATGGGGTAAAAATTGAATTTTCTCATTTTTGAACCTCAAAACACAAACATTTCTAATTCCTCTCCAAACCATTTTAAAAAGCTCAAATAATAAATTTTATAGTATATTAAAGTGCTTTTGTAAGGTTATTGGTTCCGAAGAAAATTCAAAAAGTTAAAAATTTAAAATTCCCATGTTATCCTTAAGGAGAATAAGTTAGCTGTTGTAGTTTGCTTGTTTACGGATATAATTTCATCAAACTTGGCAAATCAACTTAATTTATACTAAGCTATTGATATTTTACTAAAAAACGTACTTCATTACCCTTCCTGTAGCAGCAAACCTAGGTACTTGTTTGAAATAATGTTATTTAAATAAATTTAATTAAAAATCCAATCGGGCAAAAGGAAATCTGCTTAGTCTGCAGGATTGCTGCTGCGGGGGGTATTTTCATACAAAGTTGCACTGTCCTAAATTTACTTTATCAATGGTTTTTGTCAAAACATCACTTAATTTGTTTCACTTTAAAAGTATATTTATGCTGGTAATAGTATGAATAAACTCCAGAATAAACTTGGACAATGGTCTAAAAACATAAAATATGCATGGTATTCAAAAAATAATGTACAGGATACAGTAATATTTCAAAGTTTTACTATTATATATTTTAAGTACTTAATCAGATAATATTACTAACATGAAATAATATTTGTACAAATTGGATTAACTACCTTCAATATGATACCCAATTTTGAATGGGTAGGTCAGTAATAATTATATTGGGGCCATAAAAGTCAATAAGTTTGTTCTTTAGATGTATAGTTTTATATCCATATTTTCCATCTAAAAAGGTGTCTATAATAAAAAGGTCACGTGACGAGACCACCCCCCACCACCTTGCCAGGCCGAGCCGAACGCTTCCGATTCTTCCGAATCATACCGAAAATAGCCGAGGTCCTTTAGAACACCTTGTATCGTCTGTCTGGAACAACGATCACATAATACCAATAGATGGAGCATGTTGGCCGCGACGTGAAGCCAGTACTTTTCACCAATCTTCACTAAGATGGCGGCTGCCGGCTGTGATGAGCCCCAATAGCAGGCGCAACTAATTAAATGTTAGTTTATATCAAAGATATCCGTGACAATACGCCTTTATATTAAAAATATTTTTATTACTAACACAATGACCTTCAAAATACACTTTTAGTTAGTTTACATAATTAACAACAAAAACTTTTTGGGCGAAAGAAAAATTCTGAAAAGCTACAAATTAATTTATAATATATGTATCTATATTGTATTAAGGTTTTATAAAGTTCTGGCGTTTGGTTTACAATGTACGAATTTTCAAAGTCACAAGATAGTTTCTTAAACTCTTTATACAACTCTCCTGTATATTCTGACTGGCATATACATTTTTGCGAAAGAGCTAAAAAATATTAATTTTTAGATTAATACAAACAATAAAACGAAGAAAATTTATATGTACTCTGTGTTTTTCTAATTATTTTAGTAACTTTTCTGTATAGCTCCAAACTTGAGTACCTATCTAAACTGCATTACAAGTGAGGTTGTAGGCAGAATCATGACGCAACGCGGCGTGGCAGATAGCCCCTATATTACAATTTAAATTACAACCAAACTACACCATCTAAAAATTGTTAAAAATATGATCAAAAAAATTCAACTCTTTAGCTACAAAATCCACAGTTTTTTAACTTACCTGACAAAGAAATAAAAAAAAGTAGCATCGGGCGAACTTTTTCATGTCATATTTTAAAACTCTTTTAAAAGTAAAGTTATTTGAAGATTTAAAATATAAAATATTACTTTTAAGCTTTTAATTGGAACCAATAGTGTCCAAGACTTGTTGATATCATTCATACGAAGTTTCAACGATTTACCTTTAGTCTAAGTAGGGTAAATGTTGAGTTATTTTGAAGTGGAACATTGAGTTTTCATCGACATCTAGCGCTTCTCGTAAGATGGCAGACCTGGATTCACCTGCTTTAATGTTAGTTAGATAGGCGTGCTCCATCTATTGGTCTTATGTGATCGTTGGTCTGGAAACGGTACAGCGGAATTAAAATCGGAACAGAGCATCGGAGCAATTTCTTCCAATCCCGATCCCTCTTTAAACACTGATAGGAACTGAGTAGCCATTTAATGATGTTATCAGGGTGTCTACCAACCGGGAAATCCGGGAAAACCGGGAATTGTACTTAAATTTTTACTGGCCATGAAATGTACGGGAATTGTCCTTAAATGCCAGACAATGTCCTTAAATTTTTGATGGGCCCAGGGTGTCTACCAACCGGGAAATCCGGGAATTGTACTTAAATTTTTACTGGCCATGAAATGTACGGGAATCGTCCTTAAATGCCAGACAATGTCCTTAAATTTTTGATGGGCCATAATTTTATTGATCGCTAGTTGGTTAGGAGCACATAAAAGGTTTATCAGATGTTTGTTTACATTTTCATAATTTATTACTAGAGTAATTATGCAATAAAAATCCCATTAACAATCTCAAACCCATTAATATTTTATCACGACAATCAAGTGTCAAGTCAAGTACTTCCAAGAACTGTTGACTCAGCAGCTAGCTCATAAAAGTTGTATCACTTTTATTCCTTTACAACTTCATTTTTTATTACTAGGGTAATTATTATTAGATCCCAAACCTATTTTATTTGAAAATAATAGCTTTATAATGGCTGTTAAATTTAACTTCTTACTTGTACTTTTCGGGCCAGTGCCTAGTGCCATAAAACTGTTTATGGTTTCATATTAAACATGTAAATAATCTACAGTCTTATTATGTAAGTTAACCCTTTTTTATGGACATTTTATCTTTCAATTGACAAAACCACAAGCATTGTTGTTTGCATTAATGTTTTATCACTATGTAGGCCTGCTTGGTTTCAAATTATGTCATTGCATTTTCTGTATCTTTGTCTTATATTGTTGGCTATTCAGGTTTCAATGTTTTTTGTTTCCCATATATTTATTTATTGAGTTGTATGCTTTAAGCTGAGCCGTGACTATTTCCACCGGGCGAATGTCACGACTCATGATCAATGGTTCAAGTGTTTTTTTTATAGTAGGCTAGTTCAGTGTTTCTCACTCCACGACCCCGAACAAGGCTGTGGGTTTTGTTCTTATTACTCCCACCGCCGACGATTCAGAGGCTCCGAGACTTTCGTTAGCGCTGCATCGGCATAAATTTTGCATCGTCTTTCATCTTAATTTTGTAGTATGTTTGCGTTGTATTTTTGCCTTTTCCTTACTTGTGTGAAGATATTCTCTACTATGCAGTAAATTAAGAGCGCCCAGCGCGCTTGATGGGTAAGTTTGGACATTTTTCTGATACTTAGGTTAGTGCACATGTTGCACTAGGTCTGGAACCTAGTCTTGGGGTCGTGGAAGACTTTTGATAGTTAGTTTCCCTTTTCTCTGTTGTTTTGTATAATTCAGGGCTTTGCCCGAAATGCTAGGCCTAGAATTGACTGAGAAATGTTTGTTGGAAAGCCGCTATTTGAGAGAAACTGCCAAGTCAGTTTTGGGTCCTTCTGACCGTTTTGTGGTAGGCCTAGGCTTACAATTTTTGCTCAGTAAATGTAATTGTCTTAGGCTACTACTCTGGTAGTCTTTTGTTTCTGTGTCCCGTACAATTTTTAGTGTTGTTTTGTCTTGTAAAATGTTCAGTTTGTGTTACCCAGTCAAGTAAGGTTAAAGTCTTTTATTTTGCTTTGTCCTTGCCAAACTAGTTAAATTAAGTTGAATTAACTGCTCTTAAAGCTCCCCAGAAAGTTTGAGTCATTTTACTCAAGTTTTAAGAAAGTTACAGTAATTTTTAGTTTGGCAATTCTCCATTCAGGTTTGAACTGGGTAACACGGAAGGCCACTGGTTAATTACAGCTCGTTTCTCTCAAATGGCGTGTTGTTCTTGAGCTTCCATCCATGGTTCTCATTTTGTTATGTAAAGTTTTGTGAGCCGCTCCTCGGGCCTGCGCATGGATCACGCTTCCTTTTCGTTAGTCTGGGTGCAGGCGCGAGGGCATGGTTCATCTGGTAGCAGAGCGTGGTTAGTGGGTTGCGTCCTGGGTGCCTTGTCGTGAAACTTGGTTTCACGACTCGGATACTTAGAGATGCGATCACTGTCCGCGTTCTGTTTTTTGTTTTGTTTTGAAGAGCCGTGGATGGATTGGTTTCTTGGAAATGTTCTGGCCTGGCAGTTTTGGAAAAAGGTCTTGTTGTTGTTGTGGTGGGGCGTAAACACATTTTTATTAGGAGCTCGCCCTTTGGCCGAGGCACCGGGTGGAATCGGTGGTAATGACTTGCATCCTTCGGGAGCAAGAGTGTCAAAAGCATGGTCATGTGTCAAAAAAAAAAAAAAAAAAAAAAAAAGGTTTGTGTGTACCCCCCATCACACAAGTGTTAGGTGTTGTCTAGTGTATGTATCGGTGTATGTTTGTGTGTGTGTACG